ATAGTCGGGAACTCCATCACCGTCTGAATCCTGTAAGTAGTCCGGGGTTCCGTCTCCATCTGAATCTTGCTCAAGGGCATCCGGGATGCCATCGCCATCTTGATCTGCGAGGTTAAAATTGAAACGTCTTTTAATTTTTCTGTTGTCTGTCTTATCCATGAAATCTGGGATTCCATCATTATCTGCATCCTCAAGATAATTCGGCACGCCATCCTCATCCCAGTCTTCTAGGTAGTCGGGTATTCCATTATTGTTACTGTCCTGTTCGAAGATCTTATCGGTTGTGTCCTTATCGTCATCTTCATCCTCTGCCGACAACGTGGGTCCTCCGCCACCTGGTTTTTCCTCATCTGCATCCAAATAATTAGGGATTCCGTCCCCGTCTTGATCTTCAAGGTAGTCAGGAATACCATCACCATCTTCGTCTTCCAAATAGTCTGGGATTCCGTCACCGTCATTGTCCTCTTCCAATGCATCAGGTATGCCATCGCCATCTTTGTCAATTTTTGAGGATAGTTTTGTCTGCTGAAAATGCGTGATGGTAAATATACTGGCATCTTCGTCCAGGTAATCCGGGATACCATCGTTGTCAGAGTCTTCCAGGTAATCTTTTATTCCGTCACCATCCGCGTCTTCAAGGTAGTCGGGTATTCCGTCACCATTAGCATCACCTTCTAAAGCATCTGGAATGCCATTACCATTTTCGTCCTCTAGATGGTCCATGATCCCATCACCATCACTGTCAACAAATCGTGCAATTTTGCGAGGTTTGTCTTTTTCTACTGGCTGAGGCTCATCATCGATGCAATCAGGTATTCCGTCACTGTCAGAGTCTTCAAGGTAGTCTGGTATTCCATCCTTGTCACTGTCGCCTTCACACCCGTCTGGGATGCCGTTTCCATCGCTATCTTTGAAGGACAAAGGTTTTCCCTTCCTCTTTATATAAAGGGCACTGTCCTTGTCCATATAATTAGGGATTCCATCGCCATCCGAGTCTTCAAGAAAGTTGGGTATTCCATCATTGTCATCGTCTTCCATCATATCGGAAATGCCATCATTGTCACTATCCGCGACTGCGAGCTTCCTAGCATGAGTACGAAGTTTAACGGGTTTCTTGACTACTTTGTTGGGCGTCTTGTCCAGGTAGTTGGGTATCCCATCGTTATCGTTGTCCTCAAGAAAGTTGGGAACACCGTCTTCGTCATCATCCTCGAGAAAGTCGGGCACACCATCACCATCGTCATCTTCCAGATAGTCCGGTATACCGTCATTGTCCTTGTCTCCCTGTAAAAAGTCCGGCACTCCATCACGATCTCGATCCATATCCTTAGGCATTTTCCACTTGATCACCTTTTTCAAAAGAAATAGTGAACTATCTCTATCCAACATATTTGGAACACCATCTCCGTCATCGTCCTCATAGTAGTCGCGTATTCCATCCTTATCCTTATCACGAAGGTAGTCTGCAACGCCGTCGTCATCTTCATCCTCCTCCAACAAGTCCGGAATGTCGTCACCGTCCTCGTCCAGCAGTTTCACCAGTTTCATATAGTAACTGAAGCGTTTGGAAAAGCTGGGACTGTCGTCATCCAGGTAGTTTGGAATGCCATCACCATCTGCGTCCTCAAGGTAGTCTGGGATACCGTCCCCATCGCTGTCTTTGGGATTTGGCATTAATTTAACATTTGACTTCGGTGGGGCGACTTTAGCCTTCAGCACTGGTTTATTGACAGTAGCCTTCAATACTGGTTTAGTGACAGTAGCCTTCACTGGTGAACTTTTCTTCGGGGCATCCTGTTTGCACGCGTCTGGCCCTTTGCCCTGACAGGTCTGAGGTTTCGGGACTTGTTTGCTGGGCTGGGGCTTAGGACTACCGGGCTTGGAGGCAGGCTTACTGTACAGTTTGCTGTCCAGATCCTGGAAGTTGGGGATCCCGTCTCCATCGTCGTCCTTCAAGTAATCTGCGATGACACGCCCTTCTGCTGCCTTCTTGGGCTTCTTAACCACTGGTTTTGGTGGTGCTGGTTTGCCAGGCGTTGCTGGTTTGTCAGTTGTTGCTGATTTGCCAGGTGTTTTTGGTTTGCTAGTTGCTGCTGGTTTGCCAGGTGTTGCTGGTTTGCCAGGCGTTGCTGGTTTGTCAGTAGTTGCTGATTTGCCAGGTGTGGCTGGTTTGCCAGGTTTGGCTACGTTCACGGCCTTTTTCGCAGTCGCCTGCAACAGCTTACGGCTTCCAGGGTACACTAAATTCGTATCATCGTCTTGTGAAGCCCAGTCTAAAACAGCATCAAAGAGTTTCAGCTGCAAAAAGTGTTAAAATGCTGTCCTGCAAAATATTTTGGCTAGACAGCTATTCGGTCAAGGTATCAGACCTAATCGCGCTTCGTTAACGGTGCCTTGTGCTCATACAATGAAATCCGCCCGTTACAATACAGGTTAAAAAGTGAGGTAGGCTTACTACTGAGAGTCCTCTGACCAGTTTAAACAAAGGCAGAATCAAGGTTCCCCGAACAATAGACTTGCCAGTGCAGTGTTTAATTCTTATCCCCGCTAGGCATCGCTTTCCCTCCAGACAAGAGAGAAGGTTATCGAAAACAACATTGTTTTTAGTAAGAGGTTGTTAGTTGCTAGACTAAGGCATGCAGATTTTGTCGACAGTTAGAATCTAATTCACCGCACTCACGAAGGGGTGGTATGGAGGTGTTGCTACTGCAACAGTCTGTCAATCTAACTACGAATGGAAAAATCATAACTAGAACTAATCAGTAGAATGTGCATGCAGTGGATTGGTGTCACATGGGGGATGTCGAATATTGGTATATCAAGTTCACTTCTCAAAGTCTTTTTTATCAGCTGGTGACAGTGAAGTGGGTTCTGACAAAACATGTTGTGTCTCAAGTAACATTTACTGTTTGGTTGCGATGAAATTCAGACCTGCATCATAAGCATCGATATCCTCTTCTTCTTCCTCCTCCTCCTCGGCAAAGTCTTCTTCTTCAGAATCTTCTCCCTCCTCCTGTTCCACATCTTCATCCATCTCGTCCTCAGCTTCTAACTCTTCTTCATCGTCCTCCAACTGACTTCCAGGATCCTGGTGATCGTGGCTGGTTTCAGTGTCTTCGGAAGTCTCCTTGTGAACACAGGGGGTCCGTAAAGTGTCCGACTGAGCTTCCTCTTCTTCCTCCTCCGGCTCTTCAACCTAGTAGTCGTAAGTAAAATCAAATTGGCGAATTAGGCAACAAGAAGCCGACAAGAAGCAAGGAGCAACGCTTCTGACAAATCGTTAGGCTTTTGTTGCGCCTGATCTGAACAACATGCTTTCAAAATATCGGTCGTCCCTTTGCAAGGGAGTTTTCTGTTAACTAACGAGTGAAGAGTGTGCTGCATTACTGAAAATGTTCGT